CCGTGCCTGCGCATGCGCCGGGAGGAGTCTCCTCCTCCCTCTCTCCCCACTCGCACAGGCACATTAAGCTTCAGAGCGGAGTGAGTTCAGAGGTAACTTTTGGACAGTGCTTACTCTCACGTTATCTTGTTTTTCCTTCTAACGGTACAATTTACTTCTGTCACATTTCCCCACACAAGGAATAATAGGAGAAATACGAGGTGCAGGAAAATTGAGGTACTTTCCAGGAATATAATGCTGAAATAACAATAGGTGAAGAACTTCGAAGACCTATGTTGCACAGCTGCCACCAAGTACAACTGCTTATTATGGCACTAGTTGCATCGCTTAACCCTGTATTTATAGGAAGAGCCCTGTCTGTGCCCTTTCAGCACTTAGAGGGCCAGTCAGAAAAAGGAGACTGAAACTTCAAAAATTCTGTTCTGGGCTACGGGCAAAATCTTTATACCATCTGAACACGGTCATCCAACACAGGTAAATGTGGCTGCTAAGTTTCACTTTGCTTTAGAGTTTGCTGTCATATAGTCTAAAGCTCAAGGGCAACCATCATCTGGTTTCAACGTGTCAATAAATCTCTTAGTGGAAAGGAGAGGCTTGTATTGATGAAAGTGATAAAAGGAAAGGCAGAGAGACTACTGAAACGGAAGAATACCACTCATTGAACAATCAAAGAGCTGATGCTCGTGACAATCAGCTTGGTGTTAACATACCGGACCCTCAACTGTGAGCATTAAAACAAGTGATTTCCTGAGAAGCTTGCTGCACCCTTAGCCACTACCCCAGTTTGAGAAGTGCTTATGCAGTCATCGTCAAATGGGGCCACGTCCTGGACGAATCCAGAAGGGTAGGTTGCTGCGGCAGTGGGGGATGAGAGTGGAAGGAAGACGTGAGGAGGGATCAAAAGCATCATGCCTGTCAGAAACTCTGCTTTCCTCTCTCTGGAAGAGGGTTGAATCCAAAGTGAGTCATACTGCTGCCTCAACGTCATGACCATTTTCCATTGGCCATGGATGTCCTGCTCTGTTTTGTCCTTCCGTTTTGTCCCTGTCCCGGCCACCTCCTGTGTTGTCACTGGCTCCAGGGCAGCTTAGTCTGCGCTCTTCAGAAAGAGAGGAGGAGGCTTCCCTAGTATGAGAAATGTTCATCGGTACAGTTGTGATGTTTCCAGCAGGAGCACCCTTTCAGTAGCTCGCACAAGCTGAAGTAATTGTGTGAAGTAAGATGGTTCAGTTTCTTAGGAGCTGGGTGTAGTACTCATTAGGTAACCAGCTACCCCAGTTATAAGTGAGTTATAACCATTTCTGCTGGCATTCTGCTTTGAATTTTATGAGTCATGCCACAATATAAGGTTTAGACACATTTTCCACACAGCAGTAAGTAGCAAACGGGAAAAGCTCCTAAGAAACAATCATGATGAAAGGCTAAAACGTTTTCCACAGCTTTCAAGTTTGTCTGTGCAAATTTCAAATGACCCCAAAACACTATCATTTTTCCCTCACACATCACATCTTTCTAAAAGGGCTGTTGTTTGATGAGTAATGTTTTTCTCCACCATTTTCATTTTGTCTCAGTCTGCAGGCAGGAGACTTCCAATGGCCACGTATGAAGTTGACCTCAGGCTGGGAAAGGCACTGTGTCAAAACAGTACGGGAAACCTGTGTGCTTACAAGCTTTAAGAAATGGTTGTATACAGAAGAATTTTGACTTTCAGCATAGTTCACCCTTTTCAGAAATGGTGATTATTTTTAAGTCTAATTCATTAAAATAATATACAGTATGGTGGCAAAAGAAAGCTCTTTGTCAATAGCTCAGAATGGTTGTTAAAGACAATGTGCTTTCTCAACTCAAAGTACTGTATTCAGGGTTTTTCTCCCCCACATGGTCAGTGTCAAACACAAGCAATAGAACCGGTTCCACCAAAGAAGTAAAACTCTGTTGACAGCCCTAGTGGTTTCTTTTGAGAAATTTGAAACTTAATATAGCTGTAGTCCTGTTGATCTGCAGTCAAATTCCCATGGCAGAGAAAAACTATAAAAAGTAAAGGTCTCTTTGGTTCAGTTATATACCTCATGGAATTATTTTTTTTTTACCCTGAAAGCCAAGTGTAGTAATAAAGCTGTGAGCCAGTGGACCTTTTCCATTATTTTTCTTTCTGTATTTGCCACTACAAAGAGTGTATTTTATAATACGTATAAATAAATATGTATGTCTGTATATTAACCCTTATGATACTGATATTTTGAATGACTAGGGTCACACTGAAAGATGTGAGAGATGGTGGAATGAGAAGGAGGAGGGTATGAAGGCTGGCGTATCATCAGGAGATCTGTAAAAGCCTGAACTACCATTTAAGTGTGCCAGTGAGGGAGAAGGTTCAAATCAAAGCCAGTGGAAAGAACCTCCTAACTTCTTGCAGCTTGACAGTGGTCAACTTTCCTCCTAAAAGGTATTTTAAAGCCCTTTATACTAGTGCTCTATAGCTAATACATTTAGTGGAGCTCTGCTTTACACCATCTCAGGCTGGCTGTCTGCAGATGACCCTTAAGCAATGTCTGAAGTTTGCTCACGTGGCTCTTAACTTCTTTCTTTCTGATGAAAATCTTGGTCATATGGAGCAAAGGACCTTTCAGTGGGTTTTCTGGGGTTTGCCAGATTGCTTCAGACCTTTTTAGCTACCACCATGTTTTCTTGGATTTGTATATTTCTTTATGGTATTGAATTGCTGAGAGTTGTGTGCAGAGCAAAAGTCTTGGAAGTGGCACATCAAAGACAAAGTTTGATATCTTTGCATTAGCAGACCAAAATCACATTTCTGTGGATAGTAAAAAGAGGCTCCACCCATGGAGGAAGATTCTCAGAGGAAGATTTCCTATGTCTTGTGATCAACCAAAGGGGTCAGGTTTTTCTTAGTGAGATTGCTGCATCCGCCTTCTAGGAATCTATGGTGACTTCTTACAGGACTGCAATTTATACAAAACCAGGGTAGGGGCTTCACAGGTTGAGAGAGTGCCTCATGCTGCTGTCAGCTCCATGAAAGTAACTGAACGGTTGTACAAGAGACTAATGAGTGAGCCAAACAACAGGAAGAAAAGCGGAGAAGAAAGCTTAGAACAGACCTACGCAAATGATGGACTCAGGTCTGAATCTGGGCAGATGCCAGACAGATGCTGCCTGCTGCATTCCTGTTCAAGGTCTCAATATTTCTTAGTCTTCCCCTGTCTCTTGGGCACCAGCTTAAGAGCACCCTTACAATTCTTAGCTGTGAGGGCAGTGTGCAGTGCAGAGCTAGAACAAGAACACTGAGGGGTTTTGCTAAATGAACTTTGGTAAAAATGAACCTAGTAGTCCTGGCTCGGGTGCTAGGATGGGGCAGTTACAGAGGTCAGCAACACGAACTCAATTGATCCAAACAGTGGAAAGTGTTTTTTTTCCGTCAGTTCATCAGACAACTGCCTCCCAACACAGTTATCCATTGTTAACGGATTCTATGTAGGCATTGCAGCTATGTTATTTATTTTGCAGCCTGGCACAGATTAATAGTTCTCTGGCAACTCTGCTCCAGGGCTTTGAAAGCCTTTATGAAGGGCATCAGTAGGCAAGCCACGCTCAGGAAAAGCTTGGATAACACAGTCACTTTGCAAAGCCTCTGAAAGATTGGGGGTGTCCCAGACCTACTCACAACTATAACCCCACAGGGGTGGCCGTTGCCTCCTATGGATTCTGTTTGAAGATTTAATTGAGCTACATCGCCTGCTGCCTCATGAGTTGGGAAGAGGATAGCATTGCTTTTCACACCGAGCGGAAGAAACCATGAACAGGAACTTACTGGAGTTTTTCTTTTTCCATGGGTATTTCCAGTGGTTGTGAA